GTCAAAGGCAGCCACAGCGCACGGCTCTCTCGTGACCGCGGACCACTCATCATAATCTCACTTGCTCACGTACGATCTACTTACATAGTTGGGAATGCATTAAGCAGTGATCTTATTCGAAAGCTCGGCGGACTGATGTCATGTTATGTAGGCACTATTTGACAGTTCTGGTTACCTATTTTTATGATGCCTCTAATTTAATAGTAAAAACATAGATATTTTTTCTTCATCTGTGCCATAAATGCCTGTTGAATGTCGGTATATATTTAAAATTGTAATAAAATAGATTTAAAAAAAGATATTAAAATCTAAAAACCAAATTTAGGACGATACCAGATGTCGTTAGAGTTTTCAACGTCTGTCAAATTCATTTGATCAATGTCATATGCCAGTAGAAAGTAGAGTTACTATATCCCATATCTCAAAAGTAATATCATTCGTTTTCGACTTCGATAAATTTTCGTCAAGGGTCTCATGGAAATATGCAAGTACGCAAATGATCATCGAGTGTGCAAAGATAAATATAAAGTGAAACGCATCTTGCACTTGGTTTTAAATCGTTTTAAGCATTGAACTTGATATTGCGAATTTTCAAGGCGAATTCGCCTGTTCTGGGCAAGATTATAATATAAAACGTGAATTTGATAATAGCACCAATTTTATCATTTCCTTAGACTATACTTAAATATATACTTAAATCTATAAAGAAAGGTTACTTTCATTGAAATTCAATTTTCTAGTTGATATAGAAATAAAGACAATATTAATGACTATGATCCAAGAGAATATATATTATTTTTATTACATAGGGAGAAACTAAGCATAAAATTTACAATGTTTGTTTAAAAATCTGCTTAAAGATAACAAATCCACAATTTGCGGTGATATTGAATTTAGAATGGAATAATTATATTACTTTCGTATTTTATGAATTTAAAAAAGCGAAAAAATATCCTATAATATTAATAAAATCAATTTTTCTTTTGCAATTAAAGTTTAACTATAATATTCTTTTACATGACAAGAAAAATAACATTTAACACCTTTGATTTTATCTCTTACAATAGAAACACACACATAAATTCGTTCAAACATTTAAAAGACAATGACGATGATAATCTGCAGCAAACCTCTTTGCTCATTCAAAAGTTATGTAATAATTAGCACAACCCCTCACGTAATATGAAGTTTCTACTGCAAGAACTTCCGTAGCGAAACGTTAAACTTACTTATTCCACACCTATTAAGCAACAAAATAAATTGATATCAACACGCTCCCCCGTTAACACGACACGCGGGAAGTTTGTAGACGCGTCATAGCCGCCCGTCGGCGTCGGTTTAACTCCGCCACTTTTCCTAACTCTGAGACAATTTATCAATTTCATCCTACTCGTGTCGTCGCGTAAACTTTCATTCACATTAACTAAATCGGCGATTAGTTTAAAAGAAGGCCCTGTGTTGCATGTTGCACGCGATTGTTTGTGACTACGCGATCGCTTGTGATTATGCGACTGTTTGGTACTACTCGACTAATTGATACTACGCGATTCTATGCTACTAAACGATAGATTGTAAATATGCGACCGCTTGTTGCTACGTGACAGGTTGGTACTTACTACGCGTCTGCTTGCGTCTACGCAGTGGATTAGTACTACATGACTGCTTGCTTACTACTCAACCGCTTGCGATTGCATATCATCACATCATCATCACTAGCCCTTTTACGTCCCCACTGCAGGGGCTCAGGCCTTCCTTATGGATGGTTAAGAAGGATGGGCCATGACCTTCCACGCTGGCCCATGGATTGGAGGATATTAACGACTGCAAATGCAGCCGGGACCAACGGCTTAACGCGCCTTCCGAAGCACGGAGTAAGGTCGAGATAATAATTTTTGGTCACCCATCCCGTGACCGACCCTTGCGAAATTGCTTAACGACTATGACCGCGGACCACCGAGCTACTCACTGCGATTGCACGAACGCTCGCTATTACACGTGATGGTTTGATACTACGCAACTGAATGAACTACTAAGCAACCCTTAGTACCACGCAACGCTGGCAACGAATTTGTATAATAAAAATAATAATGACGGACCAATAATGGCGATGCTCCAAAAGGCCGTATTGCTTGACAACACCCGAATATTCAGCCGATATTTCTCTATCGCACTGACACTCGGCCAGAAAAGGAAGGGGAGTATCTTCGAGGGACCAAGAAGAAAATCAGGTTTATTTTCCCCATAGTAAAAAAAAATTATTTGCGGAAATATTGTTATACAATTTTTAATGCGCAGCATATTTTGTCGTCAAGACGAAGTGATAACATGTTGATGATGACAAAACTGCTTGGTACTAAGTTTTGACTTTGTACTACGTGACTGATGATACCACAGTCTATTCAGCACAGGCGAAAAAATAGACAGCGACATAGAGTATTACGTGAGAGTATTCTGTACAATAAAACGCAGTACTATTTGGTAACGGTACAGAGAACTATTGATAGCATATCGTTCTCTTTTCACGCTAAAATTTTTTTTCGCATCAAAAATAAATGATCTGTGAACATCACGTCAGAATATATAAACGAAACGGTTATATTTCTCCCTTATATTTTGAACATTATTGACAAAAATATTCAAAAATTAATGTGGGTATTTTACATTTTGTAGTAACCCGACGATGTGCTGCTGTATGTACACTGGCCGAAACTTAAGTACAACATAAGAAAAGTCACTTAACTGCAGTCTCTTGGGAAATCTGAGTCCTATCCTAACATTATAAAAAAGTTTTGTAATATTTAATTTCATCATACTACAACGATTTGTGAGACAACCAATTGCAAATTTATATTTTTGATACTTTACTTATAACACATATTCAAACCCAACCTAACCTAACAACTAGTGGATGAAATACTAGTAAAAAATTTCCATTTCACATTAGAAAAGCGATAGGGAACAGAAAAATAATATGGATATTGTATTCATAAGTGCGGAACGCGGGCAGGCACGCGGCGGTGCGGTGCGGTGCGGTGCGGTAGACGCCATAAATCGCAGGGATAATGAATACCATTTTCGCCTCAATAAAAACTCCCACATTATATGATACAGGCGCGATTTATGCGCCGCTGCCCGCGCCGCCTATTAAACTCCGCCGAAATATTTTAATATTTGGACTGGAAGTCGCCTAATGCCCTATTTATATTCGACCGCGCTGGGCCAGGTGAGGCCGTCGCCGGCCGGATTTGCAGAATTGTTAATCAAGCTTCATTTACTCACAATGAGTGCAGTCATCATTTTTAACGATGCCATTTTATGTCATCGTAATATTCTAAACAGGATCTAAGTATGCATACCTTTAATAAATGGTATTAATATTAATTATTTGAACTCTGAATGCAAGCTTTTTCACTAGAGTAATTTTGGTACCGGAAACATACGATGTCTACTTTAGTTACATCAACAAAAGCGAAACGAAGTAATAAAAAAACAGTCGGCTCGCCATGCCGAATGCGACTGATATCGAATCGAGTTGAGTGCATAAAGTCCCGGCTGATAAAATCGCGCGACAGCCAATGAAGTTGTATACTATTGAAAAATATTTTCAAACGAAGCGGCGACGGTGGTATATTGTGCGGCCACCGGCAGGAAGGGGGGGAAGGTATATTCATGAATATTGATGTGGCATCGTGAATATTCAGCACAGCGACCCTGGCGATTGAAAATTTGACGCAAGTGCTGTGCAGCCGCAACAAGCTGGGAACAACCTGACTTTAGATTTTAACCAGAGATTTCATGCGTGACAATATCTTATTGTGAAATTACAATTAATACCATTTATGAATATTTCGTGTCACTACGTCGTATGCGTAGTTTTTGAAATAATTTCCGATTCTTGTTTGTTATGAGAGAGAGAGAAAAGGAGACATATAGAATTATTTGGTAACAGGCTTTGAGATACATTACACAGTTATATAAAAAAAATTTAATAAAACAAAAATTACTAGATTATTTTAGTACTAGATTATTTTATTGATTTAATGTCTTTTGTCTCGCAACAAGAAAGTTAGTCAAATCAGCTACAACAGTGTTAATGTGATAAACTTGGATATAGCCTTGGATAAAAATAAAGAATAAAAATAAACTTGCCATTCCAAGCTTCAGATTTCAGAAAACCAGAGGATCATTTCTGGGTAAATGCATTGCTATGTTCAATAAAATTCCACGAAATGTAATTGACCTACCCATAAATAAATTTAAAATTCATGTAAAGAACATACTTATGAGTAAAAACTATTATAAAGTTGATGATTATTTTAAGGATCGCAATGCATGGAATTAATAACCTGCGCTTTGTTCTATAACGACTAATTATAAATGTACAATCTATGACCTACAACAAACTTTGAAAGTTGTGTTTATTATTGTGATAATCCATATTTTTTGGTAATGAAATAATTTATATAAATGTCTTTACTTATGATAAAGAGCTGGTAAGTTTATTTCGCTTGTTCTTGTCAGCTAAAAGACGTCCTGAACAAGTGGTAGGGGAAAAACAAATTTCGGACAATTCAAAAGTGCTTGTAATAAGCCTTCTTGAATAAAGATATTTCCATTTCATTTCATTTCGATACAAAGAGATTCACAAGAAATAGATAAGTTTTGAATTTATTAAAATATGCTGTGTAGTAGCGAAAAAGTGACAAGTGCTTGAAAGATTCGTCAGTTTTGTTAGGTTCTAGGTAGCTCAGTTGTTAGAGCAGTCGCCCGGATTGCGAAAAATCGTGGGTTTGAATTCCATGTCAGAGTGCCAGGGACAAAGTGGATTTTTAAGTATTTTTCGTTATGATTTTTCTTTATTTCTCTTCATTTCATTCGTTTTAAGTTACGGCTTAGTTGTTTCTTGCAGTGAAATTCCAATAACATCATACCATAATTGGCTTCATTTTGCATCAGTGTTGTACCCTCCTTCGCTGCACAAAGCAACCAGCGACGATGCAATGCCAACACCGAGTGAGCAAAGGGAAGCTTTTTAATGAAGGCAATTTGAATAAGCTCCGGCATATTATGTTGGAGCTCGCACCTAGCCAATTAATTATTTCTTGCGTCCTGACTTACGCTCGACTCCGTCTTTGGATGTAGTGATTAATCAGGTTTTTTCCCGGGTCCGGTCGGGGATAAATCTCGGGCTCGATCTCGCCCGGACAAGTACATGCGGCCGGAATCTGGCCCGTTATTTATGTGCTCCGCAAGCCCGTGTCCCTGATGCACTGCCATCCCCCTACCCTCCCCGAATCTACCCCTCGAATTATGTCTAAGCAACGACAATCACACTAAATTAAATAAACCCAAGGCTTATTATTCAAAACTGCTGTGGGGAAGACTTCAGAAATTATTACCAAAACTCCGAACATTCCTCGAACGAATCAAAAAGTTTTTCCCATCATCAATCTTTCGGACGAGCAGGAAGCGTTTAAGTCGCAAAAGCGCGAAATTAATTATTTATCAGCGGCGCGGGAATTATAGCAGATTGGTGCTTAAATGAGAACGTGATGACTCATCAAGAAACCAAATGTGTTGGGCGCCATCAAACGAATCAAATTACTGAGCTTACGATCGGAATTCGAGTTTCTTAGGGAATATGATTCACTGTATTTCACATATCTCAGGAAAAATGTTCAAAAAGTTTACAATACTAAACGCGTTATAATAGAGTAAACATAATATTAATTAAGAAAATTAGTTCCGAAATGTATTTGCACTTTTGTTTCTGAAAATAATAATATCTCGGGAACCTGGCTCAAACTAGCGGCGTGTCACCAATCAGGAGACTTCTGTTCTAATTATGCCACGACTTGTCAAATTTCACAAGTGTTTGTTCCTTTCATTCCTAATGAGGGTTTTTAATATCTGAGACCCAATCTTTTTTTCAGAATCTGATCCCGAGAGATTACTGTTGAATTGAACGATATGGTTTACATTCTTACTTATTTATAATTATTCAAATCATAAAAAAATTTAAAATTAAGGAAGCAACACATATTTCTCAATTTTTATTGTGGACTTGAACTAACTAAGACCGGTATTGATCAGGGTTGGCACAAATACGATATTTATAATAATTATCAAAAACTCCGATATTTGATATTTATCATGTATATGAAAAGCTGCTATTTTTAAGTTGCTCATGGCTTCATTTAATAATAGGTCTTTTAAAATTTCGAAGTTTCTAGTAAGTAGGATTGCTACTTCGGGCCAATGTTGCCAACGTCTCATCAGGTTGGTAAATATTCTAGCTGAGTCTTAATACTTAAACTAACAATAAGTATCATAAATATGAATTGTAATATATCATACCATATATATACTTATCAGTGAAACCCGGTATTGATACAATCATGTAAAATTTTGAACATGATATAAAAAGCCCAAGTTTTTTTGCACTGATTTGAAGATTTGCCGAGCACCCTCCGGCCTTCATTCGTCCGGTGCGGTAATTATCCGGCAGATCGACGCCAACGCGATTAATGCCAGTCCCTTATCAATGCGAATCTCGTTACCACCAAAATACCTTCCACTTGGAAAATTAGACGATTTCGATTCTTAGCAATTGAAAATACCTATCGTTTTAATAATTGATAATACGGAATAGAGCAATGAATGTAATTCCATTAATAAATCAGGAGAAATAGCAGAGAAAAAAATATTTTTCCTGTTATAAAAGAAAACCTCCTTGAACGAGTGCATGACATTTTTATTTATTTCAAAAGTTAAATATATTTATTTTGTTTTCAGGTGAGGCAACGAGCGCACCCAGTCTTTCAGTTTCATCACCAAGCCGGACAGCACCCGCGCCTCTTTCTACGCCGGTAAGACTGTCTTGAAATATACTTATAAGAAACCATTTTTTCCACTATTGAACTCGACGGAAAACCATTAAAGTTGTACTACAAAAGCTATTATTCTTGATATTTATTATTGTGTTCCATTCTATTAGTTGAACTAATAACAGAACTAAAGGAACCGAGTGGCATCTATAGTTTACTGCAGTGGATGATCTTCGCCAAAATAAAAAGAAATATATGGGTAATTAAGTTTCATTCAAGATTCGTACATGAAATTATTTATTAATTAACCTATTTAGTATTTTACTATTTTTTTTCTTTAGGATATTAATTTAGTACTTAACAGTTGTTACTTGTTACATATTTTTTTGATCAATGTCTATTGTGTTACTGAATAAATAAATAGTTGTTAACATTAATCTTAGAAAAATACTTCCAAAAAAAATCAACTATCTTATCTCGGATACTTATCCGGATAGTACGTTTTTATTTCTCGCACATACTTTTACAATAAGCAAGTCGTTATTTTGTCGTAAAGAGCTTATATTTTTCCCCGTCCTGTGGCGACCCCAACGCCGAAAGCACTTTTTTATTCGGCATCCAAGATCTAAGTCGTCTCTTAAAACGGCCGAGTCTTTGTCTTAATAAAAAGTGTCACAATCTCTATGTCATAGTTACGTCGACAAAAAAATATTTCATACGTTCATTTCAGGCTTGCGGAGCCTGTTAGATGGAGCGATCATAAAAGAGCCCTCGCGGCGAATAAACTTCTTTTCGAAACGAACTGCGACTTAGCACGATTTTATCTACTTAAAGTTAGGTGTCGTTTATTTTATGTGAGCGGCCGACGCAATGTGAGTCTAGCGGGATGGGGAGTGTGCAGCAGACGGTGCCACTCGTATCTTAAAGGATATGGTCAATAACGCACTCCTTTATGCCCAATCTCTGATAGTGTCATAATTCTTTATTATGTGTGGCCTTATCTCTGGCATGATCTCTAGTACATATATCAAGCGTGTGACGAGCCTAGCGGGACACTTTGCTATCAAACGGATCTCCTGCCTCTGCACAAAACGTGATACCCTATCCGTTTCATAAACCAGTATGAATAATTTTGACATCGCTTTAGTCTAACGCTAAAACTGCCAGAAGCCCTAATTTATAAAGCTTTTGTAATTTGACATACTATCTCAGTAATATTTTTCTGCTTTATATGCATGATTATTTATTACAATAATTATCTTGATAAAATGAAATTCCAATAACATTAAATAAGGAAATGCGTTATAAAATAAATGAGGTTAACCACAGTGCTCGCCATCCCATATGCCATTATCTGTACTCAAATTTACGCTGGTTACATAGTGGAGTTAATAATCTTTAATGCTGTTTTGATATTACTTACTTATTTTATTGGTAGATATAATGTCTATTAAAATAATGTGTATAAGTAACTTGGTGGTGTAGAGGATAAGCGTGGCGGCCCGCGATCGTTGTTGTTAAGCAACTTTTGCATGCGTCGGTCACGGGATGAGTGACCAAAATTTATTATCTCGAATAGATAGCCCGTCCATGGACCAGCGTGGAGGGTCATGGCCCATCCTCCTTAATATATATAATAAAGATGGCCTAAGCCCCTACAGTGGGGACGTAAAAGAGGATGAGGAAGACAATGTATATGAAAAGTGCAACATTAAAATTTCTTGTGGTAAACCAGATTCTGCTACCTATAGAGCTGGGCAATTGACTCTGATGCCCGTTTTAACTAAACTTAGGAGTCGCTTAAATCTGTCGCCTAAATATTTTGGAGTCTCCTAAGGTAAGAATGCATTTCACCATTGACTAGGAACCACCTAACGAAATTAAGCAATGTTCAAAGTTATGATATTCATTATGCGGCGCCTTGAACTGAGCATTTGCTTATATGACAGGTCATAAATATATCTTTTTTATAAAGGGATAAAAGAAAAACATGTTTATTTGGTATTAAACTAATCTGCTTATTCTAATAGGCGATTCGTAATATTAGGCGTTTCCTTGTTAACCTAAGCCTTGTTCTAGGTTAGTGAAAATGGAGGCGAAAGTTTTTTGGGTTGAGATATTCTCCTTTTAATTTCTTCTAACATCAAAAATATTCAAAAAAATATTTACGAAATAAAAAACCAACATAATTATAAATATTTGAAGATCTTCTGATGTTCAACTTCCATCGTATTTACACGAAAACTTCGGTTGGAAAATTTACTTCGCGAAGTCTCCATCAAATAGAAACATGAAAGTTCATTTAACTGAGTTACGAACCGATAAAGTAACGAACGAGTTGAATTTTAATATTAGAGCCTCCTCCGACGAAAGCTAAGTTCGTAAAGGTTAATGATAATCGAATTGAGTGTTCCTCTGAAACAGCGTAATTAAAATTCTTGACAAACCAAAAACTTGTCTACTAATAGTTGTAACAAACGGTTCCGTTTGTTTTTTGGTCCTCTTTCAAAGGGAATATTAATATTCCACAAGCATTTACTAAAACAGTCATTTTCAACCTAAATACTTATTAAATTTGATAATAGTTTAAAGCAGCTATAAACAGCAAACTTCTAACGCAAAGAATTTTCTTTTTCAATGATAAATATTATTACAACATAAGCGAATAAGACTTCAATTTGATTTGTGAGTGCAATTTTCGAGAAACCGAGCAAAAACACAACTCTATGTTCCTAGTGTTCCTTAGATCACGCATCGGGTTTGGTGCCACTAAAATGCATCTGCTTCCCGAACATATATTCTTTTCTATTAGATTTTCAAGCTCTAGACTGGAAAGCATTATTTCTCTATTCACTTTAGTCTCAAGTCCTAAGAGCATTTTATTGTTTAGCTTGGTAATAGTTGTGTTCATTCGCTCGAGAGTCCTGAGATGTTAGTAGGTACTCATATCTCTTGTTGAATTGCAAAGGTCTCCGTGGGTTGAGAAGTTGCGGGTATCGAGGGGGGTAGGTTGTTGAGTGACACAATGACAGCGGATCGGGTGCGAGCGCGGTTCGTTTGTCACAGATGACGGGTGCCGTCGGAGAAAAACTAAGCCGCTGTCCGCACATCTCCAAGATTGGACCGCCGCTGACACACCGTCATCAACTCCTTTCGCTGACCCTTCTAATTCCTATACATGCGCATTCTATTTTGGTATACGATTAGATGAGGTCATGACTTTAATTGATAAGAAATCTAAGTTAGGGGCCATAAATGAACATCTAGAGCTGTTAATGTAGTTAATTATTAATATTAATGGTTATGAAATAATAATGTTCGTTATAATTTACACCAAACCTTTTGTATAGAAAATGAGTCGGCTAAAAGTGAACGACGTAAATAGGACTCTTTCATTACAAAATCACTCAAATACAAATATCATGAGTACAAACATAATAAGGAAATGCAAGAAAATAACTAAAGTGATACTAATTAAGAGATGTATCTGATCGTGGATAATTATCGTTATGATGCAGAATCTAATTACGTTGCACTGATTGGCTATAAGCAAGGCTGTTCATTCCACAGGCGCACCATGGGACCATTATAATAACTTACAATATCACGGCCACCGCCTCGTCGATTCATAAATTTATCCTGCATATTACGATCGTATGATTTACCGTCAACCCCAATCGTTATACTAAATTTAGGATGGTATTATTATAAAACATCGATAAATGGGTATTTATTCAAATGGAAGTAAAGTTAAGGAGACAAGAAAATTTTCATTTGTTAGAAACTAGTGGGGTATTATTTACATATGTTATTTTCTTTTGCACTTTCGAGAAGTTGCAATATATCGAAGTAATAAATTTGCAAATATAGCAGCAGCATTAGTAAAAGCTTGAAAATATAGAAAGCAAAGCTTTTCTGAAGCGTACCGTCTGCAAAAAGTGAACGCTCACAAATATATAATCCAATAAACAGTTACCATATATGACTGAAAATGAAAAACATTTAATGAAAATAAAACAATTCTTAATTCGGATAAGCTTATTGATGTCATCATTTGGATCATCTAACAATTTTAGTTTACATTAAGTATTTAAATTCCAGAATAAGGATAACTTTCGACTAGCAACAAGAACAGGCACAAGCAACTTATCTGCTCTTAACGTTAACAATGGTATTATAATTACCAAACCACAATAATGCCACACTCTTTGAAAGCAAGAGCAATAAAATGAAATAACATTGATTGTTCTACAAAGCGAAGGTTATTAAAGTCCACGCCTTACAGCCCTCAAATTGACAGACTAATAAATATAAATCATAATAGAACTACGAAAAAAAATCTTAAGTAAGTAGATTAATAGTTTGTTGAAAATAAATGTTTGTGTGCAGGCATGCAACGGCCCCGGTGCGTCTTGGACGTGGAGTGCTCGGTCGCGTGATTTGAGCGCACCTGGTGGAGGTGCTTTAACGGAGGGGGGTGGTGTGGGGTGTGTGGTCGGGCGTGCTCTTGGTCGCAGCGCGTCCGCCACGCTGCGCACCGCACCCGACCTCAACGTAGACGCTATCAAGGAGAAGCTGCTGGATCACCGCATTCCAGAGTCCTGCGTCTAGTCTATTTAGCTATTAATTCGGTCACCAAGCCACAACTACGTATCTGTCTTATCTTAATTTAACAGTATAACCTATAACCATTTTGTTATGAATGTTTTAAATTTTAACATGATCAACAATCTACCTATATTATAAGGAATAATTTTACCAATTGTGCATATGTAATTTGAATATATCCTGTTTAAATTTTAATTATGTTTGTTATCAAACGGATGTACAAAAATAACACACTAATGAACCATATTACGTGTCACCGATTGTATTGTATATAGTATAATTTGATACTAATTAATTTCTGTGTAAGGCATTACGTAGAATGGCTGGTGACTCCTTTGTACATTTCTTGCGAGCGTTGTATAAATGTTGTAGGTAGGTAGACATTTCTCAACTTGTTACTACCGACTGAAGAGATCCTAAAGATCCGCCGTATGTTTTTGCCCGTATTTATATTTGTGTAAAAGACTTTTCTTCAATTTAGGCAAATTCTATTGACAACACCTCAATTCTACTGATTTTAACATAATAATGGCATCTTGATGGCGTTTCAACTGTCTCAAATGACATCTGTTTCCAATCCAAGATCATTACTAAAATGACATCTTGATAAATCAATAGTAAATCAAGATATTTTTATAATTTTTTGATCTAGAATCAAGCAATGTAGTAAAAGCATTATTTTTGAAACGCCATTCTTACGGTATCATTAGTAGAATTGAGATCAAGTTTATCGTATCGATTGCTCCGATCAAGCTTTATTTTTCCAAGTGGTTTTAAGTTTGATTCTGTTGAATAAATAATTAGCAGTTGGGCCTTTGTAGTAACTCTGTGGTGCTGTGACGAATGCAAAAATATTGTTTGGCAAAACATTAAAATTACCTAATTTAAAGAGTAGTTTCAGACCGCTCGAAACTAATTGACAATTTAATTTAATTTTATGATTTTTGAGTTAACTTACGGAAAAACGTACGGGATCAAAGAATTTAACTACATCTTTAATTTTGTTTGAAAATAAACTCTGTGATGTAAATAGTAGAGTATAAGTATTTGCCACTTTTTATATGTCTACGAAACTTTAGCTCATAATCTACCGTTTGTCGAATCGATTGAGAGGTAAATGGATTTAAATGTATACAGGAAAAAATTATTATCAGTGTACAAATTATTTCCTATGTTTTAGTAGAACATATTAACGAAGAAGAAATTTATTTTTAAATTTCATATTTAAATATCAAAATTAGTAATTTTTATGAAAGAAATATGATTAAAAATTAACCAGACCCAGATGCCCGATACGGAATCTACGTTGATCAAATCGCACCCATGCTGGTGAAATCTGTTATCTGATATGTATCACAAAAACAAAATAGGTTTTACAGTTGATGCAGCTTGAAATTTTCTCTCGAATGGTCTAAACACCCATCTAACAGTTTTACCAGCGTAGGTGCAAAATATAATACTTGATAATTGAATGTTCATTTAATACTTATTGAAAGATTCGTGTTTATTTTGATATCGTATGAAAAAAAAATGTTATGTCGGCACAATGACAAAAAAACGTCAGCAACCTCCGTGTACAGTAAGTATATCATAAGTAGCTACATGCTTATAGATTTCTTTTTTAACTCTGATATAAGCAGGTTAAAAAACAAAACGTGAATATAATTCACCGTAATGTAACGGACACGATATTAAATTTAATGTACTGACTCCAATTTTTTCCTGTAATTATAAATAAATAAATAAAACTATGTAAATAGTGTTTGTACTTGATTCTTAAGGTTTAATTATCGGCTTAGTGTTGTCACAGCCGGGCAAAACTACAGTCCTAGATAAATATTGTGTGTTAAAAAATGTACAGGTTATTTATTATGATAGTGATTATTTTGGCATCCATAAATATTTCTTGGTTGTGTGTCGAATGGAAATTTAATTATTATTTTTAACAAACAAACCAAACGTGCTTACAAAATTCAATCCTTAACAGAAACAATATCCTTATAAAAAAATATAAATCTGTACCATTACAAGAAACAAACAAAGTTAGAAACCATACCTATTTTATCATAAATAGGTATGGTTTCTAACTTTGTTAGAAACAAACAAACAAACAAAGTTAGAAACCATACCTATTTTATCATAAATAGGTATGGTTTCTAACTTTGTTTGTTTGTTTGTAAGAGGTAATCGTCGGAAGTACTGATCTCATCATGATATTTTTTTCACTTACGAGAAGCTACATCATACGCGGGTAGCATAAACTGAAATTTAAGTAGGCAAAGTAGCCATAAGTGAAATAATTTTTAAAATTGGTCCAGTAGCTTCGGAACCTGTTCAATACAAACAATCAATAAAATATTTCATCTTAATATATTTCTAGCTCCACTTATTAGCTCAGCGTCTTCATTATTGTTTCTAATATTAGGAAGCGTATTAATGGAAAGAATAAAATTTTGAATGTTTTTAACACTTGTTATTGTATGGATTTTTGTAATTTTTTTAACATTTTGAATCCATTGCAGGTGCCCATCTAGGGAGCTTTTAGAGTTTATATCTCAGTTTAGTAAGTACGGAACTCGAAAAAGAATAAAACAAAATACAGGAGAAAGTCGATAAATTACACTCGATGAAGCTATTCAAAAACTTAATTCAATAAATAGGGCTGAAGACCTGGTTTTGGCCACTGCCCCCTTTTTGGCAATTTCAAAGCATATTACTTTACTGTAATGTTGAATTATTGCGACTACTTAAAGTTGTGATGGGTCAAAGTTCATTTCCTCGTAACTCTTAAAATGGTTAAAATCAGATCCTAATTTTAAAATGGCTAAAACTGGAGTATCTGCCCTAAGTTCATATAGGTTGTCTCATTAATTTATAAATACTTAATGACGATTTTCTTACTTTTAATAACAATATATCAGATAGTATTTAAAACTGTTTAAAATGAGTTTGTGGGTCCTCTGCAACCCCTTTACAAGTTTAGTACCCAATTTCCGAATTAAGAATTTAGTTGAGCATCTCGAACCGTACTTAAACCATCTTAAACGTCATTCGAACAGGTTTTCGTTACTGACTTTTTTTTCTTTTTGTTGATAGAACTAGGACTTTTCTCATGTGAAACGTAAAAACTTATGTTATTGAGAATAATCAGTTGATATTATGTACTTTTCTCAATTCAGAAACCGGCCGTAAGTTGTTGCATTTTTCCGTCGCATAGTTCGGTGCTTCGGCTAAGAGTAATGCTGTTCCGCTCAATTATACAAACGCTCTTTAAGGTGTAATGACGTCATTAAGCTCTAATGAATGTTTTAAAATTATTTATCAGTTTAAAACGACATTCGTTTTAAACTTACAATAATCTTAATGTACGTTTGTTTAACTGGGCATAGGGTATTAGGGTCATGAAATAGACGCGCAAAAAATTATGAGTTCAACAAGAATTGTGTGGAAAATATTTTAAAATAAATAAATAAATGTCAAATATACTATATTCTTTTAACATCAAAGTAAAAATTTGTGAGCATGTTTGAGTAATAAGGATACACTAGAAAATTAATATCATAAAATAACATATCCTAAAACATGAGCGTATCATTGTATGTATCAAACGTATAATTGTATTTTTTTTTTTGTTACAAACAGACTGACATTGATAATTAGATATCATTGGAGTAATTTAATTTGTAAGTGAATTTGTGAATATGAAAAATTTTACTGACTCGAAGAGTTCGCTCTACTGTTGACACATTATTTTGAACGAGATTAAAGATTGTCTTGAAACAAGTATTTGAGTATTACTTACGTAACACCTTGTATTCCTTTTTTTATATCTTCACGCCTTAACTTTAAAAAAAGTGTAATTATATAGAAAACATGGTGAAGTTTAGAGATAATTTCGAGACTTTTATTATATCTATAAAGTCTATAAATTTATTTTTTAACTATCACAAAGCCCTACGAAATACGATGCTGCTTATTTTGACGTTATGTCTTTGCACAAAACGAATTGGAAGATAATAATTATTATAATAATTAAATGATATCATTAAATTACATCATCGCTACTTAATTTAATTAAATCTTTATTATTTGACAAATAAATAATTATTTTTATTATTATTGCATATGTCGAAATTAAAAGAAGACTATATGATATATTATTTAATTCTAATAACAATATCGAATAATATTAACACCCAAATAAGTTACGATATCGCATATATAGCACCCTCCAAAGAATAAAGTGGGCAATGATATTACAACCTCTTTATTTTTGTATTCTTAGCTTCTAGGGTGATGTCCCAACTTCAATTTACTTTACATTTTTAGTTCTAATATTAATGAAAATAAATAATATTAAGACTTTTTTCTGTGAACAAAGATGATAAATATTATGTGAGAAAAGAGCGATTTGTGTGAATATCATTGGGTGTAATTGCTGTAGTTTGTCAGTTCTAGTTTTTTCAGGATCTACTTTCTTTTAGCAGTCATAATTTTTGCAGAATCATAATTCTATTCAAAACTAGTTTCAAGAATATTTATAAGTTTTGATGAAATAGGACTTAGAATAATCATAATATGCCTTATCATTTTACATTGCCATTTGAACAAATTTGGGAATAATGTAGCTGCTACCATGAGGGAAACATAGAGTAAAATGTCACCAGGATATGAAAGATAATGGAGCTAATAATGGAGCTAGTCAAGGCCAACGGGCCAGTATCACGATGGCAGACTTCTGCTGGACTTTACTAGTAGTATAAGATTTCCCCGCAGAAAACCGTGATAGAAAAGGGCTACAAGTCTAAAGGCCAAAAATTTATGTGTATTTTTTATCATATAATTGAACAGGAATTATATGATGATAAGCTTAGTGCTTTTGTATAAATCTTACAATTTGTCAACTCTTATTTAAGTTTTTTCATTGAAAGCAGAAAAACTAGAATAAAAACTAATATTTTCTCTTGTATTCAGGGCACAGGTCTTATAAAAAAAATTACTTCAATCTATCATATTGCAATATTACCGAATGTATAGATATTTATTTTTACCATTTTTATTAGTTATATAATTTATGGAAGCAGAAAAAACTAGATTATTAATCATATAAATTGTATTACTATTAATAAATATATATTTTATAACCGATTATTAATTATGACTAAATTCACTCTTGTTTCATAATTTTTTGCAGTAATAGTTTGCATAAAATGAGATGTTAATAATAAAATTCTAAACTTTAACTTTAAATTTCAAAAGGTTTACTAGAATAAAGTGGTAAAATATAATCGCTCAGAAAGAGATAGGTGTCAAATACAGCGAAGACTATGGCGATAACTTATTGCAATGATTTTATTGATATGAAATAGAACGAAAAATTGTAAGATTACTACAGCCAAAATTCTAAGATTCATAGTTGGTATTTTTTGTGTTTATTTTCTAAAATTTTACAAAATATTATTAATCTTACTGTCCTTTAATAGTTTAAGAAAGAAATCTTCTTTCGATTAACATCTAAAGCATTTTTCTTATAACAGTAGCTTTTGACGTATTAAGTGATTAACATTTTTTTATTTTTCCTATTAAGTTACAAAATTGCGATTACCATAATATTCTCCGAACGGTGCGATATTATGCGATTACGTAACAAACTAAGGAAAATGGTCAGATATTTATTAACGATCGTTCTACATGTAACATTGGTCACAAATACTTTACATTGTGTCATTGTGTATTTTATGGTGCGTGGGTATTATTTGGTATTTAATAATTAATCTTTATTAAGCAAAGGAATATCAAAGTCTGGATTTAAACATATGACTCTGTTACGTCTCTTATCTTCTACTTAAACGCAGTAGTGCGCGTCGTAAAGTGATGTTACGTCATGAGTTTAATCATTTAATGGTAAATTGTGAGCAAGAAATGTAACATTTTTACGTGTGGGTAAATGCACGTTGAGAGCGTGTACGGCGCAGTGTTAACTGCGGTTTGGTTGTGCGTATTTACCGAAGGATATGACTCCGCGTGCCGACGCCTCGATAATGCCTATTCGAAAAATGGTGAGTTTCTTTTCTTTTTATTTTATCTTTGAACCAAGAACATTAAAAGGATGTTCTGGTCATTCAACAATTCATGAAAAATATGCTGATGAAAATCTAACTGCTATCGCACGACTTGGCCCTCGTAAATTATAACATATTACACCCGCATTGGAAGTAACTTCCTGTAAGTTAAAGAATTTCCATAAGAACTTAAGTTTTTAGAAACAAAAACAAATAGTCGCAATCTAAAGAAATATCAATTTTCTATATATGTAAAACGATTAAAAATGTTCAGCTCATTTATCGTAAGTTATTTTAAGTATAATTTGGAACTTTTTCGGATATATAGGGGCGAGGGTCTAAGTTTTTATTATGCAAATTCATGATTCGTTTGCAAGATTGCAACTTAAAACGATACATAATTTCGTTATATCTATCACAATCACTGTACCTTTTAAATAGATAACGATTTTGAGGTTTAACAATTAGGAAACTGTTCTTACAGAAAATGGTGAGGTACGGACAAACGTGTCTATGTACGTATACGGACAGGAACGTTCGGTGTCCGTGTATTGGGATGGACGCGCAACAAGTCGCGCTGCCGCCGCGCTGCTGATTACTGCGCTGCGATACGGCTTGCGCTACCAGAATCTACGCCTAGTACGGGCGCCTACCACAATATGCCACTTTGCGATCATTACGGGTATGCAAGATGATTGCAAGGAATTCGATCAATCCAACTCTATATTCGATAAGTAAGTATTAGCTTATAAATCTCATTACCTACTTAATAATAACTTAGGATACAACAATTCTAACTGGAAAGGATCCTCGAGATCAAAACTTTTTTAAAACTAAAAAATATTGGCACTTTCATAATATAACTTTAAAAAAAAAACAAAAGTACATAACAAAAAATATTCAGATAAATGTTTATTTTAAACTTTAATATAAATTCATCGAGTTAAAAATCTTATCGGATACTGCACTTATTTTAACTAAATAATGCAACTGGTAACCTCCAGACTAACTTCAGTTCTAATCAAATAACAAAACCGAACATCTAACGTCCATATTATTTTCATTTAGTACTGTAATAGATGTAATATTAAATTAAAATAATTTTAATCTAGGTGATAAAATATATTTATTTTAATAGAATTATAATGAGGACATATCATCAGACTTGTTTTAAATATAATAAACGTAAGAATATAATAATCTTTTATTCTAATCAATCATTAAATTCTTCATCTGACTCACAATTAATTATAAAAATAAATAAATAAATATTTAACAACATCACATACATTGCTCAGATTCCAAGATGAATAGCTAAAGCCCCCGTATTATGGAATATCTGAGACAACGAAGGTACCACAACACCCAGACCCGAGTCAATATAGAAATGTTCATTTTCTACATTGACCCGACCGGGAATCGAACTCGGGACCTCAGAGATGGCGACACCTTGAAACCGGCGTGCGAACCACTCGGCTACGGAGGTTGTCAAAATGGACACACATAAGAAATATCAGCTTCATTTATACATTGATATGCTTTTATAGCATATGGTAGGATCGTTACCAGCTCAATTTTTTTTTAACAAATCCATGTAACGTCATGTGGCAAATTTCTAGTTCTCTGGCGACCATTTTCAATTTTCTTCCATCTTGTATGATAGCTTTGGCAGCTTAGTGCAATAAATCAGTTTTTCGTTTGTAGGTACATACGTACAGTAAAAATATAATAAATCTTAAAAATATAATGAATTTAAAGGTCAATTGGGACGAGTTGTTCCGGGGAACAACCAGCCCCTTTAGGAGGGAACTTGTAGCCCCAATTTAAGATTTTGTATAAAAATTGTCATACTAGCAAATTACCGAAATCAATTGAAAAAACATTCAGAAAATACCATAGATACCTTACTAATTCCACTCTCAAATAGGAAAGTTACACATAAATCGGTCAATAAAAAATAAATATAGTCCAGAAAGATTATATACGAAAAACACAGCCGTTCATCCGCCGTTGTCGGAGCCACTAAGATGGTCGCCAGCGCAGCGTATCATCTGATGCTTAAAAGACGCACTTCACATGTGTTACTATCTCTTTCCTTTAAAAAGTTATAACTGTCAGAACAACTTACCCCGGGAACTTTCAGGCCGACCTCCCCTACGCCTATCGATTCAATTTTATTCAATCCAAAGGGAAGGCATGTGTCGATATAATATTATATCCAATAGACAAATATGTATATGTTACTAATATATTGTTACAATGGCGAAAGTTTGGATGTTTATTACTTCGTCAGGCAAAACTACTGAACGAAATGAAATTTGATATACATACTAATAATTCTTATACTGGATTAACATTTAAGCTACTATTAAACCCGCTAAACAGTTCCTAGGAACCACGCGGACGAATCCGTAATGCTAGTTTTATTATAATTGACAAATATTTGATTATCGATGCTTAAAAAAATATTAGAAAAAACGCTGATATATTGTCTTTTTGTCCCTCTTTCAAAAGGCATTACTATCCCTCTTCCCAAATAAATAGTTTGCTTAAACTAATTACAAACATTTCAAGTTTCTTTATATTGTCTAATAAATAAGCAATTCTTTATGTAATTCATCCCTTGTAGTTTGTTTTTAATTTATTTCTAGCCTCATGCTGCTCCCAGCAATAGGCTGGGCTGAAAGACCTTGTTTCGCCTTGGAAGTGTGTCATCAAAGAGAGGTAGTTCCACTTCGATTGCAGGTGGCCGGCGGAAGTGCTGCACCACTGCGTTTGCATATGCATGTATTTCTCAAGGCAACTGCTCGCACGTTGCATCAATGTCGAAATTCAAGTCACTGGAGCTTCTACAGGGACCATAAGGCACTTATAGAATGCGGATTCACACCAAATAAGTATGTCTCATTTTTCCGTTTTCTTGCACGTTTTACTAAGTACTAAGCTCAGTTAAGTTAAGGAGCACGAACTTGTAGAAAAAATGTAATAAAAAGTCAGACAGAGGGATACGATAATAGAATTTAAAATGTATCTGAGTATATGACTTTTATGCAGACACTATTAGGATCGATTCCAAACTTACAATATACAAAATAGATTTTATGATAGGTTGTTTTATTTTCAGATCGGAATCAGATGCAATATTATGGTATGCTAAAAATTCACCCGAAGGAAACAAGACAATGAAAGTATTTGTCAACAGACAAACTGCAACTTCATTACATATCAAATTCAAACCTTTAAATTCAGAAATGGATCTCCATATTTTAATACTTAATGCTATACAAAATCAAAACAAATCAGTTTTGTTTATTGATTACGATATTTGGAAAGATTTACCAGGAGTTCAGCTAGTAGAACCACCTCCTTGCTCAGAGCAAAACTGTAAAAATGAGTTAGATCCTACACGTTCATTGCGAGTTGCTGATGTCATAGTATTAAAACAACTCGCCCCTCATTTATTGAGGGTTTTTGAATATTTTTCACCGACATCAAGACAATTACGAGAAGTGCTACAGCTTGAAACAAAACAATCCACAGCCGATATCGAGGAAGCAGCATGTGAATGGGCATTAAATAACACGTCCACTTTTGATTCTTGGTACCGAATTAAATTCTCCCGACAGTTCTGGATAGTCATATTTTTATGTAAAAATGATGAAGACAAAGACGATTATAAAAAAATAGTACGTGTTGTTGAGCAATTTTATCGCCCAAGTACAAAGTTTAATGTTTCAGCATATTTTATAGAAGTCGACTGTTCAAGCGAAAGTGATTTAACAAACAAATTAATAAAAGCCTCTGTTACAAAACGCTGGGCAAACGTAATAGGTGCATTAGCAGCTGGTTCAGGTACCAAAATGGCAGCAGAGTATGCCATGCAAACGGAAACAGCATTGGTGTTGTATGATTTGCCTAATGAGGGCGTGCGCCTCGGCCCAACAGTATACGCCGTCGGTGGGACACTTAAACAATTGGCAATTGCAACACGACATTTTATTTCTTCACATAAATGGCGCCGACTCGCTATTCTCTCAGAGGAGACACAAATAGCTAAGGATTTTGTTAAAGCTCTTCAACGCGATAAGAATCTTATCATACGCAATACATATTTACATAACGAAACAGACTTTATTGAATATTTACAATCCTTAAAAAATTCAAGAGCTCGAATTCTATTACTAAATTCAATTTCAAATATATCTAAAGATATTCTTTGTTTGGCACAACAATTGGGCATGACATTTTCTAATGGATACGTTTGGATATTACGGGAATGGCATCAGAAAAGTTATAAATGTGTTAATTTATTGAATCTTGAAGAATTTCCTCTTTTTACAATCTCATACTGGTGGCAAGGGCACAATGACGGAAACGAAAACAATATTTTACACAACATGTTAAAAGTGATCAATAGGAATACTTTCTTACCTCCTCTAGCTGTTCCAATGGCAGACGCTTTGCAGTTAGTAATAAAGAGTTTCGACTCATTTACAAGAAACTATGCTCCACGCTTAAATGACATGCATGGAAACGGAACTGTAAGGTAACCATATTTCAGTTTTCATTATATTTTTAAGTTTCGTTTTAATCACATTAATAATCATAACCATTAATTATATTGTAGGTTACTTTTGAATAATTTAGAAAAACAACATTTTGATGGATTGCTTCAAAATCTACATTATGTAAAAGGATCTCTTGCAAACCCTTTAGTATTTATCAAGAAATGGATTGGTAACCGTTCTACATTAGAAACAAATTGGACCGTCATCAATGAATCTATAAAAATTGATATTCCACAACAAATATTCATAGACGATAACCTGTCAGATGGATCTCATAATTGCTTTACAAAAACTGTTAGAGACCCTTTTGACCCATATTGTCAGGATAGCTTATGGTTCACTATCACAAGTTTTCTTGTATTAATTATTATCCTTTTCTGCATATCTTGGAAAATCCGAATGAGAAATTTTGCACACCATGATGCTATATTGACGGCACAGTTATTGGCTCAAAGAAAAGTTTATTCAACAACACTCAATGACCATTTAGTTGATCGTGGAGCTCTCGACCTTTATCACGACTTAGGACGAGGATGTTATGGTCGTGTAAGATATGGAGTACTTCGAGCTCCTAATGGTATATCTGTATCTGTTGCTGTAAAAGAGCTTGTCGGGGACGACGCTCCTGCTGAAGAAAGCGAATTATTACGAGAAGCAGTTACTCTTGCGTCTTTGCGGCATCCTAACATTGTACGACTGATAGGTGTCTGTACAACAGATGGACCTCTTCTTGTATTAATGGAATACGCCCTTTTCGGAAATTTGAGAGAGTATCTCAATAAGCGACGACATCTTGTTGACAACACACTAGAATGTACGGATATTGACGACGAAGCCTTTTACATATCTGCCGAATCAATAACAAAACTGGCACGGGAAGCAGTCTCTGCTTTGGAATATTTATCGAGTGAGAGGTTAGTTCACCGGGACATTCGTGCAGCTAATTGTCTCATTGATGAACAGCGCTCACTTAAGTTAGCAGATTTCGGATTAGCTCGAACGACAGGCACGGGTGACTCCGGTGGCGATGGAGAATACTTGTGCCGGCGACGTGGATTATTTCCAGTATTATGGATGGCTCCGGAGAGCCTGGAACTAGGCGTGTTTACTACAGCATCTGATATATGGGCATTAGGCGTTCTGCTGTTGGAGATGATTACGCTCGGTGCGCGTCCTTACGGCGACTGGCTTCCCAGTCGTGTTATGAATTATGTATGTGATGGTGGGCACCCCCCGCTACCCATTAATATTTTACCTGAAACGTAAGTTGTTGTTCATTTGACATGTATCATATAAGCTATGCAATAAATTTTTTCTATTTAATACTCATAAGCCTATATATTTTCCGCATTGCTGATCTTTATTCTTACCTATAAATAAGAAAAGACCGTACAGGTCCCTACTAAGGAGAACGGGTTATGCAAGCTTATTGGTGTAGTGATTGACTGCTAATGCAAACGGGATGAACAGCTTAACATGACTTCTGAAACGCGAAAGATTTCAAAGATAACATTTTCTGATCACCGATCCAATAAACAAATGTTGCTTAATCTCCACAACCACAAATTAAGCTTGCTAATCACTCGTTAAGCTGTGTTTCATCATCACCAGCCTATGAATATACCCACTGTTGAAGCTCAAGCCTTCCCTATGAATAAAATCGAATCAAATCGAATACGGAGAGTACCCACCACGCGGGCCCAGTGCGGATGAGGGGGCGTTAACAACTGTATATGCTGTCGGAAACAACGGCTTTACGTGCCTTGTAAAGCACGGAAGGTCTCAAGCTAGTAAACTTAAATCACCCATCCTATATCTGACCTTTGTGAAAGTTACTTAACAAACGTAGCTCAGACCGAGTTCAGCAACCACTGCGTCATCGAGTTCTCCTATGCTGTATTTATGATAGATCTATTTTAACTTTTAGTTACCATATATTAGTTATATTTAATTCATGAACGAAATTTACAGGGAGCAGTTATTGCTGCGATGCTGGCGACAAAATCCAGAGGAACGTATCACTGTTACTGAAGTTGGACGGGAACTGGCAGAACACCCCAGTATAATGGGGCGAATACTTGGACCTATAGATCTCATACTCAACAAAGAGTCCCTTATACAAGATGGTGATGTGGTTTTTATGAGATATCAGTGATTTAATAAGTCTGTTACAACTGTTGATATTTGATACGATACTTTAAATACATTATAATTTTAATGGATAAGTAAAAGTTCTTTTTTTTGTTACTAGAAAAATAATACCGCCTCGCTTTTACCGTATGTTTATATTTTAAAGTAGCAAAATTATGGATTAGAGTTAATTTATTTTTTTTTGCTTTTTAGTGTTTTAAATAAATGTCAAGTCTTGTTACCAAAAATATTTTTATTTTTTATTTTATCATAGTTATTTTATCGCATTCGTATATTTATTAATAGCCAAATTATTAATAGCCAAATGATGTCATGATGGCATTAACTAGCTTCTTTTCTAGCATATGGATCCTATAAAACAATGTTTCTTTGAAGATTTGGGACTTAAAATTCCTTCCTTGGTCGCTGTGTATTTCCAATGGAATTCCAAGCCGACAGAAGAATTCGTGAACCAGTTTCTCAGCCACTGTAAAGTAGTTCATAACCACGAGAAAATACTTGTGTCCACTTTATATTTATATATATTTTGTCCACTTTCAGAAAATAGCCCTGCTACGGGGCTCCAACTTTGTAGACCATAGTGCACCCCTAATACGAGTGCGACCTTCAACAGTCCTTTTTACTACCATGTATAAATCAAGCACATCTGGTATCTTGATTTTATGCACAATCATCTGAAGGTGACACTTATTTCCCCGGGCGTTTTCCCATTTATGACACAGTATTCCGCACATAACTAGGCTATCCCATTGTGCCTAGTAACTCTTTCTGTCTCTCTGCCCAATAACTTCCATTATTGACCATTGACCGTAAATTCTTCATCACTGAGATCTGCCCTTAGCAACCTTACAGGCACTGGCGCCTTCGCTTCGTACCCGGTGCAGTGTTTGCAGCTTTCAACACAAGATCTCCCTGAAACAGCATCGCTGTTTCTATGGGACTTGCCACTGCGATGTTCTAAAACAAATCAAACTCTTACAGTAACTGTCCCTTTGGATTCTTAAACTGTAAAAGAAATTTCAGCGCGCCATTATCAATTGTTTTCTGCTGTGAGATTTGGCAACATTTGCAAAGTGTTTCACGAACCGTTGGTAGTACGAGCACAATACGAGAAATGTTCTGACCTGCGTTTTGTCCTTCGGGGCTGGCCAGTCTTTGACTGCGACTATCTTAGTCGGGTCTATTTCAACACCAGCTCATTTCCGGTACGGAACCCTACGTGCACGAGTTCGATTCGCTTTATATACTAGTAACTATCCGCCAGCGGCATCGCCCGCGCAATCCCTAGGGAACTGTTTATTTGGATATCGATTCATATTATGATATCGATATATAGTTACAATGATACATTGAATAGTAAACAAAGGTTACTATAGTAACGTTTTAATTCTCCATACAAATTTCCACTCCTATTTTCATCCCTTTATTTGCTGTTATATAATAAAAAGCTTCCCGTAGGTGGATGAATTTTTAAAATTGGTTCAGATTTGATGCACACAAACAAATAATCAAATCTCTCGTCTTTATAATATTAGTAGAGAAAGCCTTTATAATGTCAATTTTATATTTGGGACCACTGATTATAATCAAATATATGACACAACGCCATCTACTGAACACCCTAGCTACTTTGAACTCAAGATAAACTAAACTGTGCAAGAAGTACCAACTTAACGTGAATCAGAAATTTTCATGTAAAGTAAAACCATCCAAGACTTAGGTTCAGAATACTTTCTCTAGATGTCTCTAGTTTAAAAAAGTTTGAGTTGGGGAAATTATTAGGCTGAATATGATGAATAATAACTGTAATTCTAAACTGTATTTATCATAATACAAGGGCATATTGTGTTATATCAAGTTGTAGCTGTTTGCCCTTCAATCAGCGGTGAAACAATGACCGTACGAGATTTTAATTCAATTATTAGGTGGCTTCGTTTGTGAGTGGAGGGTACCACCCCTGTGCAGCCCAACATTAACAACAATCAGTGATGTTTGCGTTGACAACAAAACTCTGTTTTGTCATTTCCAGTTTTGTGGTCGCGGTGATTGTTTGAGTACGCACCGTAACGACGTAAACGGTGATTGAATTACGTTTCGAAACACCCAAAACATAATAACAACATTATTTTCGGTTTGGTTAAAGTCTAAAAGAGATATCCAGATTTAATTTCAGGGTCAAACAAAGTCATTCTAATGTACCTAATCTACTTAAAAAAGAAGCATAACTCGTTCGAATTAACATGATACCTGAGGGTCTAATCTATTTGACCTCAAACGAAAATTCGGAAAAGTTCGAATCGTTTGTTATAATCATATTAATATCATCTGTTCATCAGATGCAGTGTCATGTCCTACCTCCTCCATCATAATTTGTCTAAAAATGTGTTTCCTTGGAGTCGTATCTGCACTTCGAAAATATACGAATTTTCGTTGGATAAATGGAATAAACCTTCATATGTCAAGGTAATTCAAACAAATAGTAGTCAAGAAAAATAAAACAGGTTTATGACATCACGTCAGCATAAACAAAGACATACTTTAATTCATGCAATAAATTAAATAATGGAATCTTCTAATTTGATGACTTTAACACGAATTATTAGAAGTAAAAACGAATGAAATATTTTATTATTATCTTGGCATAGTGTTTTCTTACCTGTAGTCCAAAAACTTCGGGGTCTGCGGGCATGTATATGAAGATCCGCAAGTACATGTATTGTGGTCAACATAATCTCTGGTGATCCGACGTGATAAACAGCATCATTGACGTTAGCGTGTTTTTATATGAAAGAGCACCACTTCAGTTTTAGTTATCGCTTTTTCATTAAGAGAGTCTTTTGTTCTCGTCATTGTGATCTGGTTCGTAGACCAGAGGAACTGAATCACGGTGTCCCGGGTCTCATCTCCCTGGAGAGGGTAAACAGAGGGCTATGGTGGTTGGATTTACGGAGATAAACACAGAATCCCACACAGTCATCTGTCGCTTGATAGGCATTAGGGACTGTCTTTAAAGGATCAGTGGATTCTGGACAAGATAAGGTTACAGAAATGTGTCTTAGACCTTTTAAGCGAAGGAATTGACAAAGCTACTACTAATTAAAGGGTAAATTAAAGAAATTTTAATGTATAATTGTGTATGTTCTTTATAATTTTACATCTCAAAATTATACTATTTAATAACTTGCTAATATAGTTAGATTAACAATAATAGAAAACAATAATCTCAAAATGAATGAAAAAATAATTATTATAATAAAAAAAGACATAAACTTTGTCATTTTTCTGTTTATTTATGTTCGTAACTAAAATTGGAAAGTTATAAAAAGTAGCGTGACAGAAAGTATTTATGACCAGTAACTATGGCTGCTTTACTAAAGCTCTATGTATGCAAGCATTAAAACTTAATCTAAAATACAATATTTGCCTCTAAACCACGAACACGAATACTTTTATATGAGTGAGGCACGATTGAAAAGTTCGCGGTGTTATCAAGAAAACAGAATCGAATATGAAAAAAGCTAATTTATACGGAAACGTGATAGACTACGTATAATGTTTCATTATAAATCATTACGCATTTACACGATATCTCGTTGCGTTATTTCAAAATTAAAAATACATTTTTTAAAAGTTAGGATGGTAACTTTTAGTACACCTCGATGCTTTCCTGATGATGCACGGTATCCTGGCGGAACATCTCCACGTCTGCCTGACTATCTGCATGGATAACCTTTGCGCGCCCTTCCTGCAACATAATATGTAATTTTAAGTCAATGGTGGCTAACCGTTTTATTACTGTTACTACTATGACCTATTAGGAAATCTGATTTTACTCTAACATTAAACGGCTCGTTACTATTACAAATATTACTGTATAAACTGTATTATTAAGTGTTAGTTATTAACATTTTTCAATTACCAGTTTTTGATTATAGATTTACTACGTTTTAAACCATGAGACATTGCGACGGTTTCAGTGTTCTTATAATAAGCTAGTTGTTTTCCCGAAACTTCGTACGTGTAAATTATAACCTTCTAGCTTTCGTCAGCGGCTTCGCCCGTGTGGACCCTGGGGAAATGTTAACTGGGATAAAAAGTATCCTATTATCTAAGTCAGCTAACACACTATCTGTATACCAAATTTCATCAAAATCCGTTTAGTAGTTTCGGCGTAATTGACGTACAAACATCTAAACATCCAAACAAAGAAACTTTCACATTTATAATATTAATAGGAAATAATAGGATATCACTCGCGAATGATCTAGATTGTCGTAGGTGAAAGAATTTTTATGATCGGATCAGAATTTCCAAAGATTACACAGTTGGAAACTTTACTTCTTTATTATATTAGTAAAGGTTTAGTCTTAATAAGGTTCTTTATCACCGCCGCAGAATAAATGATTTGGCGGAATACGAACCACTGTTCTAATTGGTAACGACAATACAAGAGTAACGGTGCGTACCATCGACACCGACCTCTTTACGTGCGTTTTTCACCTTGAAATTATCCATAGGTGTTATACAGTCGTAAACAAACTTTTTATATCTATGATTTTACCTTTGATTCCTGTATAAGAAATTGATAGGAATACTATTACGATTCTATATCGAAATTTTATATAATCAGTTCGTGCGGAAGCAGAAGTGTGAATTAATTACGTTATGATTTGGAAATGGAAGTTTCCAAATCATAACGTAATTAAGTAATTTATTCATATTTATATTCAATAGTGTAAGTGGAATAATATGTTTTTTTAAATATTCACATTGACTTTGGTTAACCATGTCAACTGGCGCATGTTAAATGTAGCGTGGGGCTACATTTAACATGCTACATATAAAGAAATAACTTAATTAAGTTATACAATAAAAACTCAAGCACATCTATTAACTTTGATAATCCCATTTAAAAAAACTGTGCCACGGAATTGTGCATATTATTAGAAAACACTAAATCCCCTCGCTATCGTTATTAAAAAATCAAATTATATATTAAAGAATAATAGATACAAAAAAGTAAACAAAATTTAGACACAATGCCATAAGAGTTAATGCTAGACCTTCAAATACAACATTTTGTTTAGGACTACATTTTTCAATTATCAACTATGTATAAATGTTGTTAGTAATTTAGTGAAATAGATAATTGCAACTAACGAATACCATAATTATAAATAAACAAAAACAAGAATTCTAGATATCGCACAACGCACCTCACTCACAAAGATGTCTCGAAGATGCAGCATAACGGACCCTATAGAAATAACTATCTCAAATATGGATACAGTGATATTGGTAAACTTAATTGAATAAAAAATCTATATAATAATACCCAAATATAATTCTTATCCTTTACAAAATAGCAGCAAGATAATAAGCCAATAAAATTCCGATCACTCCGTATATTTCTCTGATGAATGTCATGAATTAAAATGGCGTACGATTCAAGATTTCATGAGGTTTTCCATATTGAGGGGTAAAGGATAATTGATTTAAGCGACATTTTTTAGAGATATGACCTTATCGTTTTCTATTAATGTGAATTTTACATCGGATAAGATAAAGGATCTTTTTCAGTCCTTTACTAATCTTAACTAATGAAAGTGGTTTACCATTACTGCACTGCATGCCAAGACAAGTGCTACTAGCATAAACATTAGTTTGTAATAATTCTTAGATCGATGATTTTGCGTTACCTTGGGATGCATGAGTATGAAGGGCAGCTCAGCCACCAGTTCGCCGCTTAGAGCACCCAAGTACAACTTCACTTTTGCGCTGTAGCTCACAACGATACCGAATGCATCACGCTGTTCTGGATCCAGCAAACTGAAAATATATAGCTGTTCAATATCCAAATGATATAATTAATCATCCATATTCCTGGAATTTTCAATAGTCCCAGAGGCAGTTTCCGTGATTTCAATAAGTATTTGTCCTGCTTGTATAATTATGAAATGAACTTATTTTCTTCCCCTGCCTTTTATCTACCACGTTAAAAATAACGGCACTTCAAAATTGGTGACAAGACAACCACGCTACTACTAATTTCCTTAGAACATTAACATTAGAAACATAATAAAAGCTTTGTACCGACCACATTGGCCCTCACATATAAGTTTTTCTGAGTAATTTATTAGCAGTTTATAATAAGACTTACAGTGTGGTGGAAGCCAGCGTCGTATCAGAGCGTTTAAGTTGACCATCTAGAGCGATACCACGCTTGTCTCGATTCTGGTCAAGATTTGGAGTAAGGTGCAATACCTTCTGCAAACTTGATCCGGGCTGTAGTGGACACCCATCCCTGACACAAAAAGATCGCATATACTTAAATATCAAGCCTATTATAAGACTGTATTAATATCTGTATTATTAAAGATTAATATAAAATAGGCAATGTAATGTTTCGTTATGTTGTCTTAATTGTTTAGGAACAGGTTTTAAAACTTCTTTTTGAAACGTTTTCACTTTTAACAGTTGACATGACTTATAATTCTATATTACGTTATTATTATAAAAGGAAAGATTTGATTATAAAAAATCATTCACCTTCGGGAAGCTACATCATGAGAGTGACATAGGTTATAATTTACGCATCGCGAGAAAACAGCTACTATTATATAATAGTAGACAACTATATAATAGTATTATTGTTTTTGCTTTTATTTTATAGAAAGTTATATATGAAATATATCTCAAAATAATTTAAAAAACATCATTCATATAATCAGTTAAAATCTATATCTATACTATAATAAAAACGCAAGTGATCGATGTCTGTACATTGAAAATATATGAAAAAACTGTTTTGAGGACCATTTATAAACGTAATAGAATACAAAACCATGATTTCTTTTTGTCTGTTTGTCTGTACGTTTGTGCACGCTTATCTCCAAAACTGTTAAACCGATTTTAATGTAGTTTTCATTATTGTATTGTGGTAATCTTCCGTTAACATTCAGTGTAAGTTTTATTATTTTAATCGATTTATAAATAAAAAAGTTATATCAATTTGAAATACTTTGTTCGCCAAAATCGCTATGAAAGTAATTGCTTTATTAATTTTTCATGTCTGATATATTGTTTATTACCGTCAGCTCTTTTTTTTTTCCTTATTTTTTGGTCACCCATCCCATAAACAACCCATGCTAAAATTGCTTAACAACAACAATTGCAGGCTGATTAAATTCTGATTAGGTTAGGTTTATACGCTTTACTTTAAATATGTAGTCATCACTGGAGATACAGGTTTATTCATCGGTCATGAGGCTCGTGCAATATTACATGATTCTGAGACTCGGTACTATACTGACGGGTCTCAGTCAAGCACCTTATGTTAGTAAACGATTTCCATCAAGTGTGCATGATCGAATTTAATATAATTTATTTTTTAGTTCTTTGACATTCTACACCAATTCGCATTGGACCCGCGTAGTGGGTTATTCGCCATTGATCCTATTCGATTCGATCCTATCTATAGGAAAGAAAAAATTCTCTTGATATACTTTCCTACGCAGACGAAGTCGTGTGCACAGTTAGTCTAAAAATAAATTAAATTCGTTCTAACATCATGGTACTTTATAACGAACATCATTCAATGTATGCATAAGGTTTAGTTCTCTAAGTTCTGATATAAGTACACACGATATAAGTCACGTGAGAACGAGCATAAAATATTTATATTTAAGCAATATTATAAGTATAATAAGCATACAAGTGTGTTTCTCGATAATAGTATAGTTCATTTAAATTTAACTAATACTTTAATGAAGTTTGTTACTAACTGTGTCTCGACACTGGCGACTACGTTGCGGAATTGGCCGTTCTGGAAAAGCACGACGTCCACATTTTGCTGGATGCTAGCTTTGATCTTCTTCACTACTTTGTTACTGTGGTTGCGCACGCACATGTTTACCGCTATGGTCTCACCGTGCATGTACAACTGTCAAATCAAATAAAATCAAAATCATTTAATCAGTCTAGGCTGTTACAAGCACTTCTGAAAGTCGAGAGCTACGCCATAAAATTAATCTGTGAAAGTGAAATGAATATTTTCAATAACTTCAGCCAACATTGGGGTTTTAAATCTACAAGGCACAGAATCAGATTGATAGTAAGTAGTTGGAGGTTTACTATATTTTAATAAAATATAAACAAAAGAAAAACATTACAAGTGCTTTTAATTGGTACCTGTGATCAGATGAAAAATAATAATTTGATTTAGATTTAATGAGGATGATTTACAGTTCAATATAGAAGCTTGTTAGCATTCAATTCAAACTGCAACATATGTACCTGCTTATCGAGAGTAAGTTCAAGCTCCAGCTGACCCGGTGATAAAACAAAGTCTTTGCGCACAACAGTGCATGGCTGAGGACCCACTTTAGCTGGTGCGTACTGCACTTTCCGAATACCAAGTGCTACCGTACTCCTGGAAAAAAAAAGATAATGTACTACTTACCCCGTCAGCTACAATATTTAAAATGTCTATGCAAACACTAGTTTGTATTCAACCTATCCATTTAAATTTTCATTTAAATGTGTAGAGGCAGCTTAGTTGTCACAGAGATTTACTACTTTTTTTATTTTATAAATGAATAGTCCATATATATCTGAGAAATAATGCAGAAGAAACAGTAACAGTATTTCAAAAATACGGTGTTGTGTTTGTGCAACTGCTGCCCATAGACCAAAAACGCCCCATACAAATTCAAGCCGCGAAGTGACGTCACGCCAATAGTACGGTAGTGTAAAACGTATGGGGGTCAGAGCAATCTTTGTCATTTATGTGTTTCTGTTTATAGTTGTTATAATGAAAGTTGTTTTACTATATTATATTCTTCCTATGTTTTAAAGCGTAATATTTTCTTAAATAGGGCAATAACATTTAATTTGTTAAAATGGTTTATATTTTTCGAACACATAACAGAAACCTGAATCCTCATTTGTAATGAACATACTTATTCTATTTATAACTTTCAGATTGTAACAAACCTTCTGTGGGAACGGTCAATCTCAGAGTCTCCAACAAAGAGCTTCACATAGTAGTGTACACCGCATGGTTCACCCTCATCTTCAAGGCCCGGCTGTAAAGTAACAGAGCCAGGAGCACCTGCCGGCACGGTTAACCTGAACGCAACCGCTGTTTCGCCCAACTTCTTCAGCAGTCGCTCCTATGAAAATATATTACATGTATAATACAGCCATCTTTGTGGTAAGTGTAAGTTTTAGTTAAGATTTTAGTAGCTCACTAGTAAAGGCGTCAAAAGTTTGTGTGGAGATTCGTAGTTCTTGGTAGTTACCGCTAGAGGCGCTATGCTGGATCCTATACTAAAATCTTAACGCATTCACGATTGACGGGGTAGGTAAACGTCAAATGAAAACTTTTTTAACAATTAGAACCGATTTTAAATTAATAATTATCTCAAAAACGACTCATTACAAATAAAATGCTATTGTATAGTCAGGCGGCAGTTTTCTGTAGGTTTTACTTGAATAAGTCACTTTCAAGATAAATACTATTCATAACTTTTTTTAAGTTTTTAAAAGAAAAGGAGGAGGTTATATACCACCTCCTTTTCAATTTTGAAGTTGTTTAAAATAGCAGTATTTCTTCTTTAGTTCATTTTTATTTAAATCGTAAACTTTTATCTACACAGCATTCCCTTATATTCTATCTCTAGTTTTGAACATACTTATTATTATTATTCTTTATTGATTAGAATTAGATATTCCTGCGAAATCAATTAATCACGTGATATAATGTCAATAAACATGAGTAATAATAATAAAGCATTTATTTTCTCAACATACAACACAACATAGTATAAAACAAACAAGACAACTATCTGTTAAGCACATACAGAAATTAAAAGTGTAATGTTGTGGCTGTCAAAACTGGTTGTTATGAGTACTGATTGCGATCTTTTGTAAATTATATTTATAAATGTTTACTTCAGTGGTGACATTATTACAAGCACAAATTAAAATTTATTTTAATCTTAGGATATAAGCAAACAAAGACTTTTAGTTTATTAAAATGTGACGTCACAAAATGCACTGACACAGCAAGTTCATTTTGCAATAATAAAATAACTTACAATTTATTTTAAAGCAAAATATAATAATTTAAGTTTGCTAAGCGTTATGTCAAAATCAACCACACTAATTATATAATTAGCAGCAGGTTGCACAAACTGCAATTAAAATTGTAATTAGTTTAAAACCCATACAAATTTGACATTTAATAGAGCTTAAAGACGTTATTAAAACTTAATGGACGTTTGTGCAATTGACCGATAGTCTTATAACAGTCATTAAGAAGTCGCTGAATCATCAGAAAATCAAGTTGCTATCGACCAATCAGAAAGATCGCTAATTGCATCAATCAACACCACCGCGCATTTTCAATATTTTAGTTTAAATCGTATATATTCTGGAGGTCACACTCCGTACACAATAGCTTTGAAAATATTTATCATTCACCTGCGTACGTGACAGATCATAGTTCCTCTTCTCAGGCGGCGGATAGATCTGCTCTGAAGCCAGGAACAGCTCCTTATAGAAGTTGAGCCCCATGACCTCATCTTCTTCGCGTCCATAGCGGAAAGTGCACACAACTTGACCGAAAACTTTGCGTCCACGTACATATTCTTCGTCAAGTAATACCACTCCATCTGTATAGAATCATTAGGAAGTATAAATGCGAAATTGCCGGTAGATCAAATAATTATACTCTTGTGATGGGATTCGTCAGTTCTGTTAGGTCCTGGGTAGCTCAGCAGTTAGAGCAGTCGCCCGGTTTGCGATAGGTCATGGATTCGAGTTCCATCTCAGAGTGGAATTTTTTTGAACTGCCAGAGTGGAAGCATTTTTCATTGAGAATATTAAAGATCCAAAAATAAGAGCTCAGAATTATAATAAGTACCTGCTATAGATAATAAAATAAGGTATATGTTTCCTGACGAGGTGACAAAAAATATATTCCTGGCATCAATGATAAAATTAGTTCAAGAATTTTTCTATCTAATAATGAAAATCCGCATCGCAAGAGCATTCATACTGAACTGAATGTTCTGCTAAGAACTATTAAAGTAAGATCAGTTACACAGGTGAGTGCAATGGAAGTTTCTCTCGTTGTTCCTGGCTGCCACGTGATTAACATCCCTTTAGATGGACTAGAGGGTTATTTTAGAAGGAAAAGTACATTCGAAGTCATTAAAGTTGATAGAATTTGAAAATCCCTATGTAATAAAACAAAAAGATTTCAAGAGCCCTTAGATAATTTCCTGCCGATTCTTCGTGTAACAAAGTCTCCCGTGAAATTGTTGTAAAACAATATACATAGGCCAAAGTTATTCATTATTCTAGCTTTCAAAAGAGATTTTTACGTGAAATCGTGCCTTAAATTGTCTAGTGTGAAACCAGAATACCCTATATATAATTTACGGTCTAGAGAATCTCTCAGACAAATATTTAAAGAAATAAATATTTTGACTGTTAATACATCTATGAAAATATTATGTACGCAAGAAAACATTACGATTCCTTCACAAAAAATAGTAGTGTTCATAATCTTAACACAAGAATTAAAAATAAACTTCCCGTTCCAAGCTTCAGACTTCAGAAAACCAGAGGAGCATTTTTGGGTAAATTTATCGCTTTGTTCAATAAAGCTCCACAAAATGTAATGGTAAATAAGTTTAAATTCATGTAAAGAACATACTTATGAGCAAAGGGTATATTATAGTTGATGATTATTTTAAGGACCGCAATGCATGGAATTAATAGCTTTCGCTTTGTTCTATAACGAGTTGTGTTTTTTATTGTGATAATGCATGTTATTTTGGTAATGATATGTTTTGTAAATGTTATTACTTATGACAAAGAGCTGGTAAGTTTCTTTCGCTTGTTCTTCTTGTCAGCTAAAAGACGTCCTGAACAAGTGGTAGGGGGGAAAAATTGTGTACGATTCAAAAGTGCTTGTACCAAGCTTACTTGAATAAAGATATTTTCATTTCATTCATTTAAATAATATAGTATGAATCCATCGTTCTGGAATCAAATATTTTATTCGCAGTTCCCTCACGAAACGTTAGAGCAGTCGCCCGGATAGCGAAAAGTCGTCGATTCGAGTCCCATCTCGGGATACCTGGGGCTGGTAGATTTTTTAAGCAATTTTGATAAGAATATTCACAGCATAGCTTTATAAATGTAAAATTGATGAAATATCAAAATAATTTTATTTTGATGATATACTTATTTAAATCTTCTAATTTAATTTATGACATTACCTATTGGTTCCACGTAAGATATGTGATCAACGAAATCTCGTTTGGGCATGTACAGAGTAAGTTTGCCATTGGGGGCGCACTTTTTAAACACTTTGAAATTATACACCATTTTGCTGATTCCAAAGAGTTTCTCTAAGAGGTTTTCACTCGCGAAGGTTCAGTACGATACTCGACGGACGTCCGGACTCGTGCGGTTGTTATATTGTGGATTACAGTCAGATGCGAGGCTTCTGAGCCTTAGTAATCTCGTTCAGCTAATTAGGGATCACGTGCTATGGTAGAGTGTGGGCGCTTGTGCAGTAATATTTTGTGTTTAAGCACTGAATCACCGTCGCTTTCATCGTTATCCGCTTTGCCGTTTTCACTTATAAGATTAAAAGTTGACGTATTATCATTATATAATTGGTTTGTTACGATTTTCATTGTCAAAACCGATGTACTGTATGGGGATTTAATTATAAAACAGCAAACGTTTCTCAACGGTAAATTTCTGTATAAATATCGATTCAGCTAACATTTTTTTTTTGTTTTGTTTTTGTTGTTTTATAGTTTGAAGAAAGCACTTTTAGACAAAGTTAACAGTTTTTTATATTCCGTTTTTAGCACAGACATCATTACTTACTTTCGTATAAACTATAATATTTTTTTTTACTTTCGCATACGTAGCTTAATACAATAGAGCTTTAAAACAAAAAAAAATAAGCTATATACTTGCTACAAACTAAACTACAATATTTATATGCAGAAGGGTTAGACAATTTTAAGAATTTTAATGTTCTAGAAAAAATAAAAACCTAGATATTAATGCAACATTTCATTATTATCTCGTTATTATTACTAACTCGATTATGATTTGCTGTGTATTAATTAAGAATACTAATATTGAAAACACATAAGGTACTCCAAAATTAAATAAATCGAATCATTGACTAATTGCGTTTACAATTTTACTAACAAAAAACATGAAATGTCTATACAAATGAATATTTGATCTTTTTTATGCAAATAGTGTGGTGAGTGAGCGCGATGACGTCACCGACGCGCTGTCTCGACATTCCTCCGGACGATGCGCCCGCGCACGCGTCCCTCCTTCCCCTCTCACGCCTCACCTCCAGCCCCTCCACACTCCCGCGACTACAGTTAGCGGCATAGACCCCAAACGGTACACTCGCGGACGTCTTCGACTAATTGTTTTACATTCAACTTTTTATTATTAAATTTCAGTGCAAACGATAGTGTTCTTTTATCATTACACTATGTGATTCGGTTCTGGTGTTCACAGTTTAAGTGGATGATCTCATATCATTAGTTAAATGCTATCTTAGACACTAGTAGTAGTTAAATCGATGGATCAGCTTAATATATGTTTTGGCGAAACTCTACCAGTGGTCTAAAACAAATTAATGTGAGTTAGTAAACTTCTTTATTCACTTATTATTATTTTTTAATCATATGTATTAATTGTTTATACTGTCACAATTGATTTTTATCATACAATTGTATTAAAGTCTTAGTTCATAAGATATTTAGAAACCAAAAACTTTTGAACCCAAGAAATACCACTTATAAAATAATTTTGCGATTTACAATCTTTCCATCCACTGCATTGCCCGGATAGTTTTTATAATTTTCTAACCCTCGTTTATACCCCTTACGTAATTAATTTAACAAAATACCTTTTTACCAATCCCCTATGTTCAGTGTGCCGAATTCCAGTACGATCCCTTTAGTAGTTAAACTGTTTTTGTCAAATCATTCCGTCAGTCACCTTTGCGTTAATTACATCATTTTTTTGAAAATTATTCCAAGCCTGCAATTAATTTTCCAGATTTCAACGATCAGTTTTCCCCAGAAATGACGAATGACACAGCTGACAGTCCAGAACACCAAGCTCCAGGTACGAATCCCTACATATTCAATGTTACAGTACACAACGTTTCATAGTCTAACGCATCTATAAAACCTTAACTTAAATAAAACTAACAGTTTTCCCGCGATTTTGCCCGCGCAAAGTTTAATCTATGACACCCGCTCAAATTATAAACTGTCGCCCATGTATGATGTATCTTGCCGTAGGTAAATAATAATAATATAATAAGAATCATTTATTTGCCTAAAAATAAATAATTTCTAAAATAAATTACATTAAATTAAATGAATTTTCATGATCGGATCAGTATTTCCGAAAATTACCCTCATACAAGCAAAGTTTGCCTCTCTATAACATTAGTATAGATTGTGAAATACCAAAAACACAGTAGGACTTACTGAAATGTCACATTTCAGCAATACATCAATTTTGATATCTACTGCCTAAGCTATAAGTACTAATTTTTATAACTAGAATTCTTGCTTTTGATTAAAATGCTAGGTTAGGATGGGTTTACGGTAAGATTCGTATAAAGAAATGTGTAGAAGTGAAAGAAAAATAATAAAAACAATACTTAATTTTCTCATATCCCACTAGACGGTAAAAAGTTCTCTATATGGTAAAATCAAACTCTAATCAACAGAAGTAGATACTCGCAAAATCGAATTTGGTATGTAGCTAAACTACAACAAAAATAGCAACTTTAAAGCAAGATAGTCTTAATAAACAATACTTATAAAATCAACTTGGTCCCTGGTACCCTGAGATGGGATTCGAACCCATGATCTTTCGCAATCCGAATAGCCGCTCTACCCCTTTTTAGGATTTTTATTAAGAATATTTTTCAATATAGCATTGCGAATCCAGATAACAATTTTTATTTGATCTAAAACCAAAATTTTGAGTGGGATCTTCGTACAATTTACACAATGCAAAAATATTTTATTCGATTTTTATTGGCGTCCAAATGTGATTTTCTCGGGGTACATTTGACTGAAAGCAAATAATATAAATATTTTTCTTCAAATTTCGTTTCAACGATATCAGGACTCTTAACTCACATATCTACCCATCATTTAATGTTTCTAAACATCGAAAATTAAAGAAATTATTAATTGAAGTACAATAATAGGCTTAAATCATTATGACTTCTTGTTCCATTTATTTATTTTTAAAATATTGAACATACCATCATTTCCGTATTCAGGTAGCATCGGTCTTAAGAATTACAGAAACTGCTTCTCGCTCGAGACATATGTCAGTCGTACTTTCTAGACTGAAAGAGACGAAACGGTCAATTTAAATAAAAAAGTTATGTTTATTTCAAGATTATTATTGCAAATCAAAGCATAAATTATTTGTATAATATAATGATATAACATTTTTAGGTGTGGTGGAGCTACGAGAGGATGTGCCCCTGAAGGCTGGTGTTGAAGGGAGCGGTGGTGTATGGGGTGGTGGCAGCTGTGTACGTGGTCCAAAGCTCATTGTAGCTGCTTTTGCTGCTCTATCTGCTGCAATTACTCTCGCGCTTCTCACACAAATATACTACGGAGACTATGAGGTAGATGTGATACATTATTATAATGATGAATAACATTTTCAGTGGTAGAACGAACGAACGAACGTACCGGCTCTTAGCCAAGAATAACAATTTTGCTAATAAAAATAAACCACGGTGTTCCATAGAAGAGACGTCAAACGAAAAACGCATAGCTCAAGAGCATTCATGTGCCAGTATAGTTTTATTGTAAGATAATGATACCAGCAGTTTATTTTATTATCAGATAGTGCCACACGGTGCTACCTCTTCATCGGTAGCAGCCTGTTCACGGGCTGGCACAGACGCCTTGAAGGATGGAGGCTTCGCGCTAGATGCTGCAGTAGCTGCTGCACTCTGTCTTGCTGTTACTGCGCCACATCGTACTTCCATGGATGCGTGAGTGCATACAAATATTAGACCCAGTACTGTGAAGTGCTTGACAATAGTTAACCATTATTTTTTGCGTTTTTACATTTTGATTCGATCTTCTGTGTGGCATTAAAATCTTGCAACATTTTGAATACGATTAAATGTTCTCTTGCCATAATTTTGATTGCAGGAGTGGATCAATGCTGTACTGGGAGTACCGACAGTCGCGTACTCAACAGCCTTCGCTGATAGAGTGGGGTGGATCTGCAACTCAATCAGATGCCCATCGACCTCCTCGGCTAGTAGCAGCGTTGGCGGCCCTCCATGCACAACTCGGGGTACTACCATGGTCACGTCTTGTTCAACCAGCAATCGAGCTCGCCAGGTAGCGTAATATCAATAGCACATAGTCTCATCCATTATAGTTATGATGGAATAAATAAATATTTCTTTCCCGGATTATAGAGATATCACTAGACTCATAACATATGCCCCTTCTTTTATAACTGGGACTGGTTCCAAAATTTTATTACGAAATAGTTCTTCGCACAACACGTGGAAATAAATTCATAATACAATAAATGAAGATATAAAAAAAATGCAAATTTTATTAAAATTTCAGAGAGGGTTTTCCAGTGTCAGAAGGTTTGGCAGCAGTAGAAGGAGCAGCTGGAATGAAAGTAATGGTTCCAGGAGCGATGCGATCTGCACCTGCTCTTGCAGACTTTCTCGAAACACTAAAGAAGAATACTAGTGCTGGTAAAATAGTATTTGTTTAATATTAGCTAGGGCACTATTTAATATTGTTAATACATTTCTATCTACAAAACTAAAAGAATAGATATAGAATTTAATCTAATTTAAATAATTAGTCGAATCTGGCAATTGACTCTAAAAAGCCTTCAGTCGGCCGTCCAGATTTTTTCAAAATTCATCATTGCACACACGGCTGTATAATGTAACTAATACAACATGTCAAATTTCCTCAATTGATTTTGAACTTTAGCTACAATGTAGGTTTAAAATAAAGTGGAATTTTGAAACATTTTTATAACGTGATCTGTTATTGACTGCACATTGCCCAGCTTCCATGAAAGCTGAAATAAATATCAAAAGCTTTATGATACATGATTCTATCTCTTGGTGAAAACTGAATTAAATATTGTCGATATTTATTTATTTATTCTAAGAACAAACAATTTTATAATTTATATGAGCACAAATCTTAACATTTAAACAAAGCAACAGGTTCCCACGTTTACACATAAATACGTTTCAAATGTTAAATAAATCATTAACATAAAATGAATACACTGACTGCATGCAACCAACGAGAGCTAGACGTGATATTGTGTGTTCGTGAGTTGCGCCTATCACAAAACAATTAAAATTAATTCAAGCGGATTTTTTCAATTAATTTGAAAAAATATCTCAAAACAACATTGTTACACACATTAAATAACAATTAATACAAAATAATAGTTATATCAAATAGTAATTAAATTATATGCAAATATTAATTTTTACAATAAAACAATTACCTATTATAGTCTGTTGATATATACTCGTGTGTATTTATGTATATTGTATTACATATTATTGTAGAATTATCGGCGGCGTGGAATAGCGCTTCACTATTACGAAAAAATCTACCACGAGCGACAACTAGAAGTGGAGTACGAGTATGGGCTGGAGGACCCGGTGCTGGTGTTGCTCTTGAAGCGATAGAAACAGCGCTGCAAACGACGCTCTCAGACCCAGACCAAATTACTCTCAAGTATGCTAATAAAATATAGTAAAAATATTTTTATAGAATCATGGCTTTTATATGTAATGTTTAGGTAATTGATAGTCTGATTTTTATTTTTTCAAATATTTATATTCCAAGTTTACTGGTATCTGTAAAGGCTTCTTGTACAGGCAGCGGGAAGCAACTTCATTTTATACTACGCATGGATTTAAACTGTATACCATATTTAAATTATGTAGATGTTATTGTTTACGTAAGATTCGCTCGCACATTCTGATAAAAGCCTGTCCTTTTTTTGAGAAAATGATTAGTTTCACGTCATAATAATTAATAGCGCAGCTAACAAGTTTTGATAGATTAAAAATTAATGTTGCAGAGTGGTGAATTCTTTGCAGCAAGCGGCAGCTGCAGAAGGGAGCGATTGGCCGCCAGCCGGCGTAGCGTCGGGATTAGCTGTCATTGATCGCCGTGACAACTACCTCGCACTTGTCACGTAAATACTTTCATTAACAGATACAATAAAAATAGGCCCAAAGCACAAATTTATAATGCTCAAAATGGGCTTAAAGATATAAAGTTAACAAACCTCTTTTGTTATTACTATGAACGATGTTATCTGACAAATAGCGCTGGTTTGCAAGTAAAAAGCTACAACGGACGTTTTATAAATTCGATACAAATAAAATAAGTAAACTTGAATCAGTAAGGGAATTGCCTTTCTTGAGATATCTTCGTTCACTGCTCGATATCGATGCTCTCATCCTGTTCTTTGAAAAATCGTTATTTATAAGCACTTTTAAGTCCCCACTGCAGATGTCAGGCCGTCCTTATGGATGGTTAAGGAAGAGTAGGAGTACCATTTTAGCGTAATGGATAAGGTCATGGTTGCTAAGCAACTTTCGCAACCCCTGCAGTGGGGACGTTAAAAGCTGATGGTGCTGAGGATGATAATAAACAAACATAATTCGATAACTACATTTTAATTATTTACCGATTATTAATTGATTTTTTTTCTATGTGCAGGGGATTATCAATGCCTTTCGGGAACGGAGCATTAACAGGTGAAGGTTGGGCTTACGATGAACCGACAGCGCCGCTGGATCTTGCACCCGCATTTCTCACAGATGACCTTGTCTGTGGTTTGTATATTTTATACCTATTAAACTACAATATCTATAAAAAAAATTGCAACCAAAATTCACCGTAAACACCAACAAAGTTTCTTGTACAATACTGCTGCATATTTCGCCCACGAAACCGTAAAGCAAGAAAATTAAAAACGAAGTCTCCTAAATTGTCTAGTGCATGTTCAACTTGAAACTCCTTCCCTTGACCCACCTGTGCACATAGTAAATTTGGTTTAATTATTCTTTATGTCTAGTTCGCAAAAAAATAAAAAACCAATCGAAATGAGACCTATTGGTTTCAAAGAAGTCCTTGATGATATAGATAGAAAATTTTTATCATCAAGGACTTCTATCAATGTCATCATCAATACAAATGATTATGCATTAGCATTTTGTTCCCGATACATGCATTTAACTTTTTAATGGAGAATCACGCCATTCCTTTTCAGGTACGAGGTACGTCATAGGTGCTGAATCCTCAGCGGCACTAGCGCAAGCAGCCGTAATCCTCGCAACTGGTGGAGGAGCTGGTGGTGTTGAACATGGGAGGCTACAGATCGTCAGAGGAGGGGCTTTAGGCCTCGAAGCCACTCGTCCTGAACCGCTTTTTGGATCTCCAGCACCGACCATCAACGCATCGTTACCTTATGCCGCTGTGAATGTTGTACAACAACGCGGCGATTCATTGCTCTCGCACGCTGACAGCCGTGGAGGTGGCCTTGCATCGCGCTTTTAAAATAGTCCACGGGACGGATATATTATCCCGTTTTGACTCAAGAGTGCATGCATCCTAAGAAATATTATTAATAAATTTACGCTTTAGTACCCATCTTACAATTTATTTATGTCAATGCATTTATTAATTGATAAATAGATGGGTCACTCAATTTACTTACTAAGCCGAGTGACATCTCAAGGTTTTATTAATATGTATAAAAGGTCATAGTATGTTTTCAGTACAGCATAGCTTGTCTACTAGGTACACAGAAATCATTTTATTATATTACCTAATCTATGCACTATAATTTAAGCGCTAAAAGCTTGCGGTAAGACTCACTTTAATCTCCCAAGCACACACCCGTCCAAAAATCTAAGATCTCACTGTTAATTAAGTACACTATGTAACGAATAAATTATTTATTTTTACATTTTATTTATTGTTATTTTCTTGCATTAAAAAGAATTACTTTAACAAGATCTTTTATTTAACTCTATATACCTATACCTTAAACCAGTTAGGATACTGTAAGTACAAATAATTGAAAAAATTAGATAATTCGTGTTGGTAGTGCCTATAGCTCCTTAACTATTTATCCAACTTTCATAAAACATGAAGAGGTACCGCTGTAAATAAGGGTAATACGCACTCAAATCTGTTCATTACTTTAAGAAGCTATGGCGCCACAGACAAACAGTCACGTCAAGGCCTTGGCTACAAAATGACCTACGTAATTACCTATTCCTTATAACTGCAAGAACTTATACAATAGGTATATACCAAGTGAATTTTGGTATAACTTTTCTCGGTATTTTTTTCTATCGAAATTTTAAATTCGCGGTTTAACCTTTTCTTAATCATAGTTTTCTCATTTTCAATTACAGCTTATAGGGATGTTATTTCATAAAAGTGCGCCCTCTTTGTATTACTCTAAAAATTAATTTGCAAGCGACAAGAGACTTATTCCGATTCTAAACGACCTCTACATTAAACACTTACATTCGTGATAAAAGCGCCCTGACAAAAAGTTGATCCAATGTACCGATAGAAGGCAGCACTAATCGCACCGCGGAGTTTGTCTCTGGCTCAACTAAAGTACAGTGAACTAGTTGGCATTTTAATATTTAATTATTTCCGACGTCGTAACTATGTTTGGAATGTAACAAAGCAATTAGGTACCTATTTTGCATAGACTCTAGAAACAAAATCAATAAATAACTGTTACCGAAATACCGTTTTGAACTTAAGATTACAAAAATGTGTAACGTCACTGATACACAGTAATGTTTAATATGGTCACAGCTAGGGTTGCCAATTCTCACGGGAAAAGTGTGCCCGAATTTGTTGACTCTCAAAGAAAATGATCATTTTAATTATAGACGAAGAAATTAATTTGTATATTAAAACAACTCTGATGATTATCTGAATGTACGTCTATATGAAGATAAATTATAATAACGATTTCAAAATAACGTGAGGTTGTGTTAATAAAATTGCCATAGGCTGAATGAATACTACCAATGTAAAATCTAAAATTCAAGTGCGCACGAATTTCAATCGAATATGATTTTGTTTTTAATTGAAAAGTACTACAAACTGCGCGCAATTTTCGTAATTTTAAATAAAATGGTTTTTAATTTTAATTGCTTTTTACCACCTGGATTTTGTTCAAATCAACCCAAATCACGTCAGGAGCATATAATTATGTCAAATATTTTAACCAACTTAAAAAAGGAGGTTTTCAATTTGTGTGAATCCTTTTCTTTTATGTATGAAGTGGGAGGTATTTAAAATACCTTTTGTCAAAATCGATTAGTGAATCATCAGTTAATTTATTAAAGCTTTTATTTTACTTTATAAGATAGAAAGAGAATGGTAAAACAATATCGTTTAATTTAAGTCATTCAAATTCACCTAAAGAAATACATTTTAATTTTCAATTTGAGGTAAAAAAAAACAGAAAATACTAATCTTTCCTTTCCCTCCTTCCTTTTCCTTTTCTATTTTTTGAATCGTTTGATAAGATTTGGTATTGTATAATTTCAGACGTTTAGAGTTATGAAACAAGCTTTCTATGAAATAACCTAGGCTTGGCAACCCTACCTGCAAGTCAACATGACGAAAATCATTCAAAACTATTAACAACTCAATTAATATCGAACGGTCTGATTCTATGCGTGTTGGTATTCAATTCGCAAAAGAAAGAAAAAACAATTTACCCAGATACACAATATAACTAATAAAAGGTTAGATTGCTTACAATAAACGCCTATTCATGCATGACAACATAATATAAATTTGTTATGAACCGTATCACGCGCCTTTAGATCATAATTTCGTAGTGAGAGAGAGTTTGAGTGTGTAAGCCCTCAGTACCTACTGACACACTAAAAAAATCAAGATTTCTAAGGTTACATACAATCGGATGATACATTGAATTGAAATGACATTTATGTAGCATCAAATATTTCTATCATTGTTTTATCTATTACTCAAATTATGTTAATAAATCGTTGTTATTATGTTTTGACTTATAATAATTTGATTTAAAGTACAGTTCTGTACTACTGTTTAAAGTACAGTTTAAAGTAAAGTTCTTTTTAATTTAAAGTACAGTTTTACCTTCAAAAACATATACTATTGGATACATCACAATAAAAAAAAACTATGGCTACGCTTACATTCACTAAATTATTTTAAATACATTCGACTTATTTATTTACCCCTGGCTACCATAATCTACCACCAGTTCCAACTTTGGGAGTCTTGTCTGAGAAGAACTGGCGAAATAATTACCGACAAGAAAAAGCGAATTGCTCCCTTTGATTTGATATAAATATTCTGTAAATTAATAAACAAATTAATGTTTCACAGCACAAAACTAATTCCAGAGAGTTTCATTAAATAAGTTGGTTTATTTATCAAATACTTTAAAAAAATATAAATAATACTTATCTCAAAAGCGACTTGTTCAAGAAAATGCTATTAATGTCGAGCGGAGGTTTTCTGTAGGTTATTAATTCTTGAATTCGTCTCTTTTGAGATAGGTATTATTTCCACTTTTTTTTTAATTTGAAGTCGTTTCTTTTTTTTTGAAGTCGTTTCGTTTATTTTATGCTTTTTTGTGAGTTTTACGATTTAAGCATACATAGGGATATAGGGACAGAGAAATCGACTTTGTTTTATACTATATAGTGATAATAACAGAGGAGAAAGATAGATTACAACTAGTAATAGACGGTTTTGACTGGTGCATACATCAGTATGAGGCCCTTGGGCTCATTTCTGGATTAGCACAACAACTACAGGAGGCTAACGATTATATATATAAACTGGAATCTGAGCAAACAAAGGTTATGGCCTCTCAGAACCAGAGTCTATATGATGAGTTGGATGGTTGTGCCCTCAGTCTCGTTTCTGCCTCACTTAATCTAGTAAAAATTGGCTTGACTGCAGAAGCTTCTACTTAGTGTTCTGTTAAAAGAGGTGTTGTTAAGTGTAGTAGGATTAGGATGAGAAAATGTATAAAAGTAAAGTATGTATATAAAAAAAAAAAAAAAAAAAAAACAATTAACAAAAATTCCAATTCTCTAAAGAACGCATACAATTGATAGAAAAATAAGAAACATGCCGTACTATAATCGATGAAAATAGGACAACCTACGAAGAGAATATTGACATGTTAAATAGTAAAATAAATAACCTCCAGAATTCATTAGTAAAAATGATTAAAAATTATGAGCACTGCAAAAAAAAAGATAGGGGAGTACATATTGGCCTTGGAATTCTTATCAAATACCTCTGGATTAAAAGGTACACGAGTGGATTCTTTCATCTCAAACTCTTATTCAGTAAATTGTATATAAAGCACAAGTGATAATAACACTTTTATTTATGAAAAAAATATAAAGCCTCTTATATTATGTGATGAAATTAGAAGAGACTTGGACCACTAATAACATAACCAATTGGGAGAAAGCATTATTAATTATTGTATGCCCGGTATTTAATGAGGAAATATTATAAGAAAAAAGAATTCTCTAAAAAAGCACCTTACTAAATGGCAACTCTAGCTCTCTAACAATTGATTTTTGCAGGAAACGAATGGACCAAAGATAAAATAATTTCCGTTCCTTTTAACTAACATATTAAAAAACTGAAAGGGAATTGTTCAGTTTGTATGGGCACTTTGGCTTTGAGTGGACATTATCTACAGTTATAAAAAACGTTATTTTTTAATATTTCATATCTTAAGGAAGTTAACTGTTGTAATATTTTCACGGGAAAGTTTAAAATTGTATATATATAAGCATGTGTAGTATTCCATTAACGATGTAACGAAAAGGTTATTTTTTGTAACATACTTTAATTACCTTATCATCATATTAATTTATTTATGTTAGAAATAAGAAACAGAGATGTCTAAATAAAGAAATTGTAGATTTACATATACTTACCTTTAATTTGACAATACAATTCTACAAGCAAAAGACAGTACTTCTAAATACACATATTTATAAGAATAGACTTTACATAATCACTTAATAAATAAATTACACTGCTCATACAGTTTCTCTTCAGCTGGAGGCTAGCATTTGGGCAGTCAAAAAAGGCAGCTACATTTATATAAGTTGGTCACATGACGTCCTAATCTTTGAATCTTCCACTGCCTCTCCTAACATGTGCTCTCCCTCAAACAAGACTATTCTCCTGATTTGTGCTCACCCTCAAGCACAACTCTTCGGCTAGGAGCGGCTGTAGACTCACATTTACATCTGCGCCTATTAACAGAAAGGACTATTTTAAAACACCTATTCAGTACATTTGCACATAACTACTTAATAATAAATTAACATTAAATATTGAACAACTAGTTAATAGTAGCAGTATTAATAGTATATCATTCTGATGAAAGATGTAGCTTCCCAAAACAAAAGAATATTTTAAATCAATTTAATTTTAACTGAAGGAACTCCTGTTTAGACAGACCTTCAAAAGTGCATAATGTATTCAGTCATTCCTTCAATATTGTTAAAATTATTGTAAGATTTCTTTTTTACAAATGAAGCAAAATCTTGTATAAGTTCTATAGTAAATGTATGAATAGTTTGCATGATAGACAACCATTCAGCCCAATTATTATAATATAAATGAGAATAACAGTCTACTGGTTTTTGGTACATAAAAGTTAAAATCAACAAACAATTTTACCTGAAGCCATCTGGGAACTGTCAGTTGCTGTAGTGAGTCTCAACCCGGAACAAAACATTATGCTTGTGAATCAGATGCTCTTTTAAAATCCGGCAAGGTAATGTTCTGTATAGGTTCTGGAATATTAGAAGGAACTGTCTCTATCTGCTCGCTGCCAACATGGATGACAGATGTAATCAGATCCATGCATCTAAAAGAGTATAGTATATAATTAAATTATTTGTCAACAAAATGTTATTTAACGATATGGTAGCGATATAT